TAAGGATTAGCAGGCATGACCTAGATAAAGATTTAGCAAAGGAGGTGAGAGGGAAAACCAGGATAAAAGGGCAGGAACACCTGGAAAGAAGAGAGTATCCAGGAGAAAGTGAGAGGTCAAGAAGGATGAGGATTAAGAAAAAGGCCATTGAGAGATCATTGGTGACTTAAGGAGACAGAGTGTGTTTGATGGAAAGATGAGGTCAGAAGCCAGGCTGTAGAGAGTTAAGAAGAGAGTGAGGAGAAAGGAAATGGAGGCTTCTGTTGTAGACAGCCTACCCAAAGAATTCAGCCACCAAAGGGAGGAGAAATATGGGATAAATATAGCTAGTGGGGATGGATAAATCAAGTGAGCTTTTTTGAGGATGGGCAAGACCTGGCTATGTATTTAGGCAGTAGTGGGAAGGAAGCCATTCAGTTTCCTGGCATGGTGCTGGTAGACTGTCCAGGTTTCACAGGCATACAACAATGAGGTCAGCACAACAGCTCTGTAGACTTTCAGCATGGTAGTCAAACTAATATCTCTTCTCTCTCACACTTTCCTTTGGAGCCTCCCAAATACTGAGTTAACTCTGGCAATGCCTGATCATCTATGTGAACATCCCTAGAAAGTACACTGCCCAGGTAAGTGAACTTATCCCCAGGATTCCAAACTTCGCTGTAACCAGTGGTTCCACATATGGATGGTGTGGTGCTGGCTGGTGGAGCGCCTGCGTTTTCTTGGTGTTAATCGTTGGGCTAAAATGAGCACAAGCTGCAGAGAATGGAGCCACACTTTGCTGCATCTCAACCTCAGAGGCTGCGCTGAGCGCACAATCATCTGCAAACAGTCTGCCAGCACCAGGCCAGGAAACTGAATGGCTTCCATTTGAATTGTCTCCGGAAGAGTCTGAAGATCACCCGGCAGGATCAGGTACCAGACACTGAGGTCCTTTTTTGAACTGAACTGCCAAGCATTTGAACCCTATTGCATAGAGCACAACTCTGACGGACCGACCATGTTGTTCAAATGCAAAACATATATTTGCCTAAAAGACTATTTTATGGAGAACTCACACAGGGCAAGCGCTCACATGGTGGTCAGAAGAAAGCATGCAAGGGGCAGCAAGGTGGCCCAGTGGATAGAGCACCGGCCCTGGATTCAGGAGGACCTGAGTTCAAATCTGCCCTCAGACACATAACACTTACTAGCTGTGTGACCCTGGGCAAGTCACTTAACCTCATTGCCTAGCCAAAAACGAAAGAGAGAGAGAGAGAGAGAGAGAGAGAGAGAGAGAGAGAGAGAAGAAAGCAATGCAAGGACACTCTCAAGGTCTCTCTGAAGAATTTTGGAATCAATTGCATGACATGGGAGACACTGGCACAGGACTGCCCAGCATGGCATGCCCACATCAAAGCAGAATTGTAGCACCTCAAGATTCATGAGGTGCACAAATTCAGAGACACCTCCATTCCAAAGGTTCATGTGGATTGTTCGTGCCCAGCCTGTGGTAGAGCCTTCCAAGCTCGTGTTGGTCTGATCAGCCATAGCTGGGCGCAGTGTACCTTGACCACGACATTGGGGTGCCATTTTGGTCCTCTTCGAGTATGAAGGACAACCAATGGGGGAAGGAGCTAGCTGATAGGGAGAGACTGGAGGTAAGTGGAGGGAGGGGATGCTTGAGGGGGGCAGACAGCTGGATGGACTAGGATCCCTTGTGTACACAGCAGGATTTCCAGAAGCAAAAAGAAGGCTCCCTTTTTTATGGGAGAGATGGGGGCACGTACCTCCTTGCCTTCTCCTGCCTCGGGACCTTTACACTGGCTTTCCTCCCTGCTTCCATGCTCTCCCCTCCCCTCCCCTTTAGTTCCTGACTTCCCTGGCTCCCTTCAAGACTCACCTCAGCTATCCCTTTCTGCCAGGGGCCTTTCCCAGCTCTGCTCAGAGCTGGTGCCCTTCCTCTGAGATTGTCTCCTGTCTGGCTATATCTTCTATGCACATAAAGGTTTTCACGTTGTCTCTCCCATTAAGCTGTGAGCTCGCTGAGAGCGGGGACCATCTTCAGCCTCTCTTTGTATCCCCTGCCCTGACACACACAGTAGGTATTTGACAAATTCTCCACTCATCAACTGGCTGAGTTCTTTTGTGGGGCTGGGGTGGGGGGCCCTCTGGCATCATCAGGCCCTAGGAGTGGGGAGATGGACAGCTCGAATGTCAAGCAGCCTTTGCTCCTGGCACCCTCTTCACCCTTTCCAAATCTTTCCTGGTCCCCACTGAGGCCCAAGAAACTCCAGGAAGCCTCCTAGCTCCCAGAGTCATCGTCAAAGGTCCCTCCCTTCCTCCCTTCCTCTTTCCTGCCCTCTCTTTCCCTCCCCCTGGGACTCCCTCTTAAAAAAAAAATCAATCAACGAGCATTTATTTTCTCTCCTTCCCACCCTCCAATCTAAAAGAACAAACAAAACTCTTGTAACAAATATTCTTAGTCATGCAAAACACTCAGTGTCTCAACCTGCCCCAGCCCATCCCCTCTCTGAGGGAGGCAGGAGGTGGGCCGCTGACGTCCCCCTCATCCTCCAGAGTCGAGTTTGTCACGGCATCCATCAATCTGCCTTCCCAGCTCCCTCCTCCGGACTTCCACCGGTTTGCTGTCCTCCCTGGAATCCTTCGGGAAGGACTGCGGAATCCCAGAGTTAGAGCAGAGAGAAACTGGGGGGGCCAGCTCGTCCAACCCCTCATTTCTCAGGATAGGGAGTGAAGGGCAAAAGAGGCTAAGTGACCAGAGGCAGAATTCAAACCTGAACCTTCCCTGCGCCAAGTCCTCTCTTGTGTGAATTATGGAGCAGAGGTGAAAGAAGGCAAACACACACTCACTCACACACACACACAACACACACACTAACATACACACAACACACACTCACACACACAATACACTAACATATACACCACACACACACACACACACACACACACACACACACACACACCATCCTTCCAGGCTAGTGTGGCAGAGACTGTCATCCCCATTTGACAGAGGGAATCAAGGGGCTTCATGGGTCACTGGAAGAGCAGGGATTTGGGGTCAGAGAACCCAGGTAAGCTGATCGGCTCCATGAGTTCCCACCTGTGCAACTCTAGGTAAGAATATCATCTTTGGGAGTTTCCGTTTTCCCCTCTATAAAATGAGGGTTGTGGCCTTTGTGGCCTGACCTGGGTGGACCTAGGAAAGGAGGCAGGGGGTCCAGAGTGCCAGCAACTTCACCCAGGCCAGACTCAGCTCCTGGCATTTCTTTTCTCAGGGCTACCAACATCATAGCTAAGGGCAGCACCACAGATCTCAGTAGCGTTTAAAGGCTCCTACCATTCTTGTGGAAGAGATGGAAGGCTCCAAGCTAGGCTGTAAAACAATCAGCCGGACTTGGACCTGGCTGAATGGCTAGAAGTGGGGAAGTCATTAACGGTTCCACACTGGCTTGGCAGGAGGTCTCCAGTGGAGTGACTCAGGTTCTGTCTTGGCCCCAGCACCACTTAGCATTTCTACGTCATACCATGGAGTAGCCCTCCTAATTCCCTTCAGATGGCAGCTGACTGTTACTCCTTACAGTTCTGGGGGTAATCTTGAGGGTTTAGACTCTTAGTACTGTCTCTTATGAGCCCCCACTGGTGTGTTCACCATTAATATTAGCCAGCCAGACATCATTCACCTCAGCACAGTGCCTGGCACATAGTAGGCACTTAATAAATGTTTGTTGATTGAGAAAAGGGCATTTACTAATATATTTATAGTAAGAAAACAAGCATCGGGGCACTAGGTGGTGCAGTGGATAGAGCACTGGCCCTGAAGTCAGGAGTACCTGAGTTCAAATTCGGCCTCAGATCAAACACTTAACATCTACTAGCTGTGTGACTCTGGGCAAGTCACTTAACCCCAATTGCCTAAAAATTAAAAAAAAAAATTAAAAAAAAAAGAAAACAAGCATCCCCTCAAAGAATGGAGCACACACTCCTTCAAACACAGGTGCTTGGGAAGACTGGGCACACACTTAACATGATAGGGAATGCATATGACCATTGGCTAAAGTCACAACTCCTGATCACTGGAAAGCCTTTCTTGAGTTCTCAGCTGTGAGGGAATAGCATCCTTTGAAGCTCCTTTCTCCTTTTGGGTGGTTATCTTTTTGAATCTCTTTGTCCTCATCATATCTTCAGTTTCTCTTGGTTACTGGCTGAATGCACTGTTTCCTACTGGTCCAGTTTCTCTGATGATATGATTGGTAGGTGGGGAGGGTGAGAAGGAATGAATAAATTAATGGAAAAGGTTTATTAAGCACTTACTACGTGCAAAGCTCGATGTCAGAACTATAAAAGCAAAGACAATTCCAACTCTCGAGGGACTTAAACTCCAATGAGGAACAGGCAGGCTGAGCTATGGGGAAAGCCAGGTCACTGGTGTTTGCAGTCTTTGTGGGGAGAAAGCACTTAAGAGTGTGTTTCTTTCCTACCATTTTGGCCTATGAGCCCATTGGTGCAAAGCATCGCTGTAGCAAGAACAAATTGGGCCAGTTTGAAGTCATCTGGAACCCTTTAAGCGCCGTTGAATGAGTCTCAGATTCTCCCATTCCCTAATTCAGAGAAGAATGTCTTCCTTCCTAAAGAAATTACTCACAAGGTCAAAGAAGGAAAAGTCATGACAGAAGATGAAGTGAAAGAAGAAATAAATCAAGAAGTGGGTCCCCACACTGGGACTGAAGATGTTTTTACATCCTAGGAACTGAGGCTGAAAAGTCTGGCAACAAAAAAAGGAAAAGCAGTCTTCCTACTCTGGAGTTAAAATGTGCCAATGAGAGGAAATACATTGGATTACCAAAAAGGTCTTGAATGCAAACAATCCCTCTATCCCAGTGCAGTGGACAAGCCATAGCATATTTATAATAACTCAGGTGAAATCAAGATGATTCAGTCCTTGGAGGTGCAGCTTTTTTGAGTTCTGCTCTGTCTTCCTTGTTTTGGTATCTGAATCTAACTGCAGGGGCAAGTGACATTAACCACAGTAGTAAACCTGGGAAATGACTTCCAGGGGCCCGCCCACCTTCCAATGGGCCAATCAGCTGTCGAGGATGACAAACTCTCAAATTCATGGCTTTTATAATAGCTTGGAGGAGGAGACTTAAGAAATTATATGGTCTGCTGCATCAGAAAAAAATCATTTTCACTTTCTATTCACTGAAGTAAACATAAGATTTCTTCTTAGAGAGTGAAGTCAAACATTGTCGTCCACCTGCTCAGTGGCCCACTAAATGTAAATCGGGCCATGAAGGTTTTCTGAGTGTTTCATGAGTAAGTGGCTTTACCTGAAATGCCTTCACAGGCTACAATGTACAATCTGACTTCTTTTCTTGCCCACTGAGAAACAAAGGGCTGGATATTTTGTCTCAGTCACTTCTTGCTGAAGAGTCAACTCTTCTTGACCCCGTTTGGGGTTTTCTTGGCAAAGACACTGGAGTGGTTCACCATTTCCTTCTCCAATTCATTTTACAGATGAAGAAATTGAGGCCAGCAAGGTGAAGTGACTTACCCAGGGTCACACAGCTGGTAAGTGTCTAAGGCCTTATTTGAACTGATGAGTCTTCCTGATTCCAGACCCAGCACCCAGTATATACTTGCTTTGTGATTTCAATATTTTATTTTTAAGAAAAATATTTTACTGGTATTTTGTATGGAAATAATATTGCAGAAGATTAACATTGAGTTGAATTTTTCTGAAACTCTCATTTGAGGTCATGATTATTTTGAGATGTTTATTGCCCAGTTTTATGTGCTGCGATACTGAGGGTTTGGAGCTGTCCTTCTTATATTTCATTCAGGGATTTTCAAGCAGATCAAATAAGTGACACTCTTTGGGAGGGAATCTTAGGCTATTGAGTTGGGAATTTGATCTGCTACAAATGCCTGTTTGAAATACAACATTTGACTGCTGGGGAAAAGTACAAAAATCTCTTTAAAAACAAAACCAGAAACAAAGCCCTCTAATGGGAGAGCAAGCACAAAAGAGAATGACGGACAGGGAGGGATACCTTGGTCTGGGAAGCCCCAAGGCCAGTCGGTGGGACTGCAGGCGAGCAGATTGATTCCATCCAGGAACAACAGCATGATTGATTTGGGAGTTTATGGCACCTGAGCTGGGGTAGGGGTGGAGTTGGGAGGAAGGATATTCCTGTGCAAGAGAGAAGAGGAGAAAGTGGTTGGTAAGAGGATGGCCAGAGAGCAGGGAGTGAAAGTATGGTGGCTGAGGCTTTTCTGAAATCCTGGTTTGGTTGCCCCACAGGAAGTCATTTCCATGATAATATCTCAAAGAGGACCGTTTCCAGGAGGGCACTGCACCTTAGCAGGTGAAGAAGGCAGAAGCCACGACCTGGCTACCCGGAAGATGTGAATTTGTGAACTGTTCAGACAAGACAAATCCAAGGTGAACCTGAGCTATCTCTTTAACAGTCCTGAAGAGGGAACTTCACTTCCTGGAAAAATGTGACCAGTGAGGGGCTATTGTTTCGTGTTTAAGCATTTGCTCGTGCTCCTTTGTGTGTTGCTTCATTTTAGGCATTTCTTTTCTTGTGGAGGAAATAAATAGCTGTCTTCTATCTGATATTTACTTTCTACAGTGAGTGCCTTTTTCTAGAAGGTTAATCTCTTTTTGGGAGAGACTCTAAACATAAGTCATATCTAAGTTTTATTTAAGAAAATTTTGGGGGGCAGTTAGGTGGCGCGGTGGATAGAGCACCAGCCCTGAAGTCAGGAGCACCTGAGTTCAAATCCGACCTCAGACCAAACACTTGACACTTACTAGCTGTGTGACCCTGGGCAAGTCACTTAACTCCAATTGCCAAAAACAAAAATAAATTTCTTTGGAAGGCCAGGGTGGGGACATAATGAACTAGAGAGTGGGAGGAAAACTTAATTCTCTCTCTTTGGGGTCAGGCCACCCCCAGATGAATCCAGGCTTGGCTTGAGCTGAAAACCAGATCTCCCACCCCACCTCCATATATATAACAAAATAAATGCCATGTGGAGGTGAGCAAGCAGTGCATTCCAGGCGAGTGGCACAGGCTGAGCAAAGATTCAGAGATGGGAGATGGGCTATCACATATGGCACAGTGGAAAGAATGCTGTCACAAGTCAGAAGACCTGGTTTCATATTCCACCTCTGATGGAAGTCACTGGGCCTCAGTTTCCTCATCTGTAAAACTGCATCACTGTCTTCCTGGGTGCCTCCTCTGCTGGAGCCATTCCAAACTGGGCCAAACCCAGAGCTCCATTCAGCCTGCGCCATTTCCGAGAAAACCTGTCTGCCTGAGGGCATCTGACTGCTGTCATCCAGCATGATGATGTACAAGAATCTGACTCAGCCCCTGGGAGCACGGTGACTAACAGCCGTGGAGGGGGAGGAGGGGCTTGCCCAGTGGTGGCCACCCTCCCATGCAGCCTCCGCAGAGCTGCCCAATTCACTGCCCTTGGCACAGAGCTGACTGCTGAAAGGGACCGAGGATACAAAGAAGCAAGACACACACACACACACACACACACACCCACACCCTCACACACACACACACACACACACACACACACACACACACCCCTCACACACACACACACACACACACACACCCCTCCACAGAGGTTACATTTCAACTGGGAAGACAGCATAGATACTAATGGATATATACACAATAGATTCAAACTATCCTGTAGCGGATGAAGAAAGGGAGGGGGAGGAGGGAGAGGATAGGGAGGAAGAAGAGTATGGAGAGGAGAAGGGGAGGGGGAGGAGGAGAGAAGGAGAAGGAACTGGCCACTGGGGAAACCAGAAGAGGACCAATCTCCCAGGCAGCACTTGAACTGCATCTTAATGAAAACCAGGGAGTCCAGTGCCTGCTCCTTTATGTATCTGTTGTGTTTTCAGCATTTCTTTTCTGAGGGAAGAAATAAATAGCTGCCTGTTTTAAATTAAACACCTTGTACAGTGAGTACCTTTTTCTAGAAGGCGCCCTATTAATCTCTTTTTGGGGGGGAGACCCTAGACATGAGTCATACATAAACTTTGTTGAAGAGATTTTCCTTGCAGGGTGGGGCCTGAGGAAGGGTGTTCCAGGCATGAGGGTCAGTCAGAGCAAAAGTATGGAGGTGAGAGATGGAGGGTCTGGTGTGGGAAACAGCAGATATCTACATAGGGTTATCATGTGGAGAGAACTAATGTATAAGGCAGCTGGGTCCAGGGTGTGAAGAGCTTTCCATGCTGAACAAAGGGGCTTATATTTGATTTCAAAAGTAACTGAGAACCAGTGTTTATTGGGTGCCAGTGAGGAGACATGGCTACTTCTGTGTTTTGGAAGAATCACTTTGGAGGTTACATGGAGAAGGGATTGGAGGGGTGAGAGATTTCAGGCAGGGAGGCCCATTAGAAGACTATTGAAATAGTATAGACAAGAGATGATGGGGGCTTGAAGAAAGGTGATGGTTGTGGAAGTGGAGAGAAGGGGGCACAGTGAAAAGACTGTGGAGGTGTAAACAGCAAGATTTTGTAACTGATTACAGGGAGGGAGGGAGGGAGAGAGAGAGAGAGATGATGATGATGATGATGATGATGAAGGAAGGAGAGAGAGGGAAGGAAGGAAGAAAGGAGAGATGGAGGGAAATGAGGAGAAAGAGAGAGAGAGAGAGAGAGAGAGAGAGAGAGAGAGAGAGAGAGAGAGAGAGAGAGAGAGAGAGAGAAAGGAAAGAAGGGAGAGGGTTGAGAGTGACAATGAGGTTACAAAGCCAGGTGGCTGAAAGGATGTTGGTGCCTTCAATCATAAGAGGGCTCAGAAGAAGAATGGTTTGGGGAAAAGATAAGATCTATTGAAATGGCTACTGGACATTTAGTTTCAAATGGCCAATAAAGAGTAATATGGTTCCCATCCTTTTTACCATGTAAACTACCTCCTGAATCAATTGGTTCCAATTTGAGATCACCGTAATTATGGTAAAACCTGTTTCCTTTCTTCAAGCTTAAAGTGACCTCATTGTCCCTTCCTCCCATGGCTCCTGGTTCTACTTGACACTTACTAGCTGTGTGACCCTGGGCAAGTCACTTAACCCCATTGCCTAGCCAAAAATAAATAAATAAAATAATAAGAAGGGTGACTCCCCTTAGTAGAGAAAGAGTGTCTCCAATCCTCCAAAACTTCATGCTGGAAAGGACCTTGGAGACAGTGTAACTCAGTTCCTTTGTTTGACAGATGAGAAACTTCCACGAGGACCATCATCTTTTCTGTAGGCTAGACTTTCCCAACCCTCATGTACCTGGGTCTGGTGTAGGAGCAGATCCTATCAGCTTGCTTGTCTGGTGCTATTTCCCCCTTGGAGAAGCTGGGATGCCTGCTTCCAAGAGAGGCACAATGGTGTATCTGTTAGAGAAGTGCCCTGGAGAGACTAGAGGAAGCACGGAGATGTTCAGTTCCAGGTGGATAATCACATGGGGAATGGGAGCCTTTCTGGTTGGCTGTTGAAGCACTCACAATCTCATTATTTGGTGACTCTATTGACAGAAGCTGGGCAAAGAAGGCTATGGGGCTCTCTCCCTTCTGAGGAGATGTGCGTATACACACACACACACACACATACACACACACAACTTCTGCATTTGCTCTCTTCCCTTCTAGGTGGAAGGGGTGTAATCTACAATCTGGTGAGTCTGAAAAAGTCCATAAGGCTCTTTGGCATCCAGAGTCTGGGGACCGGTGTCAGGGCAGTAACAATTCCCCAACAATCCAGTGACCTTTGGGGGTGACCTTCAGGATCTCACCCCAGTGCTAGCAGAGACCAGGACCCGTCTCCAAGTCACGCTGCTTGCGCACAAAACTTGTGGGACCAAGGCCAGAAACCAAGTTAAGTAGCACTGACTCCCCCTAGAGGCTGTTTAGAGAAGTAGGGGAGCATACACCTCTGCGTTCCCCTGCAAAATGTTTCTACATTTGTTCTTGCTCTGTCCTCAAAGTAAATATTCCTTTGTAAAAGCTAAGAAAGTGAAGTAGATCAGTGGAACTGGAGGCAAAGTACCTGACCCCTAACCATAAGGGGAAACTGCTGGTGGAGGCTTGAGCTGATGTCACTGGAGAACCCCAACCCCAGAACCCAGAGGGGCAGACATAAGAGCTTGGCTCTGTCTGGGATAGTGAGCCAGAGTGTGATGGCACCAGCTGACAACCATCGCGGTTGTCCTTTTTTGGACACGTCCATCTTATCGATGTCCTTCTGACACTGGGATGCCCAGAACTGAGCACCAGTGAGCTGCAGACGTAATCTGAATAGTGCGAAGGTTCTTAACCTGGGGCCATGACGTTGTTTGATAACTGTACTTCAGTATAATTGGTTTTCTTAGCAATCCTGTGTATTTTACTTTAAGCATTTAAAAGCATGGTTTTGAGAATGGGCTCATAGGCTTCAGCAGACTGACTACTCAAGTGCTCCATAGCACTGAGAGGAAAAGGAACTCAGGGGTGAAGATAGAGGGAATAGCACCTTCTTCTTCCTGAGAGCGAGGCTTCTTGTAGTGCAAACCAAGACCTCTTCTTATGGTACAAAAATACTCCATTATGGTCGAGTCATTCAGCCTGTCCCCAGTTGACGGATACCTCATTATATTCCAAATTTTTTTCTCTTTTAATTCTCCCTTCAGAATCAAGATGTTTGTTTTGCGTGACCTATTCCATTCCTAGGTATTCTCCTGCTTCTGAATCTCTCCCTGACTTCCAGTCCTCACCTGTTTGCCCATGTTGTGCTGCTACATCAAACTCTGTGTGTGTGTGTGTGTGTGTGTGTGTGTGTGCGCGAGCGCATGTGCATTCATGTTCAAGTCTTCTTTATCCACATGTCTACTGGACATCAAATTTGAGATGTCGGAAAGGCAACTGGAGATGCAAAACTGAAGGTCAGCAAAGTGTTTGGGGCAGAAAAGGTGGATTTGAGTCATCAACTTAGATAATAGTGATAATAGTTTAGACACAAAAGGGAAGAAAGATAGGGGTTGATAGCAGGGATGGGCAGATCAAATCAGGATGGTAGAGATCTGGACATATTTGTAGGGAAGCAGCCAGCAGATAGGGAGAGATTGAAGATACATAAGAGAGTGAAGATGACAGAGGGGGTGACTGGAGGAGACGGTTGGATGGAATGAGATCTCTTGTGCATCCAGAAGGCTTAGCCTTGACAAGGAATAGGAGAACTTTATCATGTGAGACAGGTGTGAAGGAAGTGGAAGAAGGCACCTGAATGATAGGAGATGAGGAAGAGGGGAGAAGAGGCAACCCACAGCTAATGGCCTAAATTTTTTCAGGAAGTAATCCATGAATTTTTCTATTTTCATTTTACCCACTGGTTCTAACAGGTCTAGGCATTTTTATATTATGATTTCTTGAAATATCATACCTGGATTTTTTTGTTTGGTAATGGTTTATTAGGGAGTCTCATTAATCTTGAGTTATCATCCTTTTATGTGTTGTCCAGGTCAGTTTTTAAAGAAAAATATCACATATATCTTATTTCATTCTACTTTTTAGTCTTTTGATTTTTGTTCTAATATTTCTTTCTTCCTCATGAAGCTATTTATTT